TTCATAAACCTTTGGATCAAAAGTTTCAATTATTGCACAGAAACATTGTCCACTCAGATCCATTCAGTAGTAAAATAGTTTCACCAACATATAAATATATTGCTGAAGAATCTGTGACAAAGACTGATTTGGGCTGGTGACACAATGTAACCCTGGTGGGTCAGGATGAACAAATGTAGCTGGGAAGAGAGATGTAAATCCAGGCTGGAGTATAAGAATATTGACCCTTTTGGTTTACTATTTCCAATCTAGCACTTTCCATTTGGGTGGGATTGCTATCCCATTCGATCAGTATGACCAATGCCAAGTCATCTGGATGCATCAGTTTAGGGGAGCCTGCTTTAACTCCTACTCTGCAATTTTGGAGAGTTATAAGCAGATTTACGTTTATTTGGTGAGGGTTTATTACATATTGGAGCTCATTTGTCATATCCATCATATTTTATGGTTAAAATATGAGTGACATATGATATTGGCATCCATTCATAACCATCTCATAGCTTCCCTGGGCTGCATTTGTCTTATTTCTTGCTGCATCAAATCTTTTTTTCAACAGAATAAAGTATGACCCTCCACAACTGTTGATGGCCTTAGCATTAATCTTATACAGTTTAAATCAGCTGCTAGTTTTGATATGACCGAGATTCAGTGGGCAAGTAAACCTTTATCACAGCTCAGCATTTACTCGGTTTAACATCTTGTGGTGGGTGCTGTTTCTAACTGAACTTTTAGAATCTTAGATTTCCTAGATTAAAAACATTTAGGATTAAACTAGCTTTTGTAACATACATTTTCTTAAGAATCTCTTAAATGGCTCAGAATCTTCAGAGAAGCTAAATTTGACTCCTCTTGTAGATATTAGTTATTTACAGTAAATGACATTTCAGCAAACGAGACACAATTGATTGAACTGTATTTATGACAAAATTGCTTTTTCTAATCAGGATTAATTCTGCCTTTCACTCGTAAGTACTAGAGTAAGTTAAAGTTCAGTGACATCAGCAGCATTACAGTGATATTAAGGTAATGATAGATGTGACGATGGTATATGTGTGAAAAGCAGCAGTTATATACTTACATCCCGGTGATAGTAGTGCATATATCACAGCATTTGCCCAGTGATGTTGTCACATACATTATGTGATTTGCCCCAAACCCATCCCATCTTAAGGATTCCCATTTTTTTATTCACCCTGTTACTTTCAGGGCAGATGGCCGGCGTTGGTCTTTGGCTTCCCTACCATCATCTGGATATGGAACCAACACTCCAAGTTCTACAGTATCAGTAAGATAAACAAAAACTGTTTAAATAAAAGAGCTCTTTTATAGGCCAGTATTGCTTATGAAACACTATGCCCAGAGAACTAGAAATAATGTACTTTATGTGTTCAGAAGAAATTGTTAAAACCAGCTCACTGATCACCAGAGGACAACTGCTCAGACAAACAACACCATCAAGAGAGTTTTATATGCAGTATACTCTGCATAATGCAAGTCATCCAAAGGGCCAGGGAAAGAGAACGATTCAGTCTGTGTTGTTAAGGCACATTAGTGCACTTCTAGGGAAAATGTTTACATAATGTTAAGCTCTCTGATTTGATAGGTGAGATAATGGAACATAGGGAACAGATTGGATGTGGCTGTTCCCTCTAATTCCATAGAGTTGCCTACAGTCACATTTATACTCCATAATGCTGATGTGCATAGTTCACCGTTTGTAATGCCATGTGAGCTTCTTGGTTACAGATAAACAACAGTTTAATTCTCATGTGGCAGATCATCTAGGTAGCATGCTAGTGGCCCTAGTTCAATCTCTTCACTGCTGAGGAGAAGTAGGGTTACCATCAAAAATACGAAGAGTCCTGTTGGTTAGTATTGACAGTACTGAACTGTGTAAGCCGTTGATCTGACTTGATGTAAAGAGCTGTAGATTGATTGCAATATATGTACAGGTAGTCCTCAACTTATGACCACAATTGAGCAAAATTTCTGTTGCTAAGTGAAACTTTTGTTAAGTGAATTTTGACCCATTTTAGGACTTTTCTTGCCACAGCGAATTACTGCAGTTGGTAAGTTAGTTGTTTCTCCATTGACTTTGCTTGTCAGAAGGTCACAAAAAGTGATCACGTGGCTGCAACCTTCATAAATATGAATCAGTTGCCAAGCATCTGAATTTTGATCACATGACCATGGGGATGCTGCGGTGGTCACAAGCGTGAAAAATGGTCATAAGTGATATTTTTCAATGAACTTGTGTAACTTTGAACGGTCACTAAATGAACCGTTGTAACTTGAGGACTACCTGTAATTAGCAGTTGGATTATATTTTGCTTTTTGCCATGTATTGTATTTGAAAGCTGAACATCCCATATAGAGGAACTGGAGATATCCCAGAAATAGCTGTATTTCAGTGTCAGGTTTGGAATCACACATACACACACACACAAACACGCACACGCACACGCAAATGATAGAGTTGCTGCATCTCAGCATTGGTGAATGGTCACGTGACCAATCCCATCGCTTCTGTCCCTCACAGTCATCCTGCTCCTCCCAAGAGCGCCTTCACCAGCTGCCTTATCAGCCAACTATGGATGAGCTGCACTTCCTGTCCAAGCATTTTGGCAGCACTGAGAGTATAACTGATGATGACGGGGGGCGGCGGTCTCCCGCAGTGCGGCCCCGGTCCCGGAGCCTCAGGTAAGGATGGAGCAGCCAAGACAAGCCTAAACAGCATTTTTTTCCTCTGCAGGATCAGTACAATTCCATACGATGTGCTTTCTTTTTTCTGTCCCTTCTCAACTCTGAAGGGACGCTTCATGCCAAAGAGCTTAAAACAATCCCCTGCTGGAATCGTACAACAACTGTATATATTTAAGCGAGTTAGCTGATCTCGTATCACAATTTTACAAATTGAAATAGTTAGAGACCTAAAATCTATAGGACCTTTATGAAGTATGGCTGTATATCTCTTAAATAATTTAGGGTACTCCTCATCCCTAAAATAGCTTCATCCAAAGCAAGTATGATCTACTTTTGAAAAGGGCAAAATGGTAGTTTTAAGGAATGAACTTAGTTTTCTAAAAGAGAAAATGGAATGGAATAGAGCATGCCATAACATTTATCACAAAATAACTACAAAATATCACTTATACCAGTAAATATGGAATATGTTGCAGTTCACATTTTTAAAGAGACAGCCTTTTGTACACTTATCAAGTCCCATTGACTCTTACTTCTGAGAAGATCAACTTGCTATGCTGATATGAGCCAAACGGGAAGCCTGAAAGAAAAGTTAAGTTAGTCTCATACATCTGGGGAACAATAGGTTGGAGAAAGATGCCATGCTGTTTCCAAAATGGTGGCAATATTGTTACAGTACTTCTTATATTATTATTATTATGCACAACCTTAATCAAAGGTTAAACTTTCAGAATAGAAGAGGGATCTCATTTTGTAGGTTTCACCTTTTATTGCAGTTGTACAGGCTGTAGATGGTAACATGGACATAAGATGGGAGTTATCATTGCATGCTTTTCCACCCCAGCCGACACTCCCTTTTCCCAGCTTGTTGTCTATGGTTGATTTTGTGCACAATTTTGTTGGTGTTTAAGGATTAATGGTTGTGGAAGTGGGTGCACTAAGAGTAGGGTTATTTGATGTTGTGAGATCTACTTTGCTTTTTTTCTAGACTGAGCAGTTGACTCCAGATGCAAAATACTGGCTCATTAGGGTGGATGTGCACTTAGGATAAGCACACACTTAACCTGAAAATTCTTTTCAGTACTCACAATAATGTTGCACAAATAGTATTCTTTGGCTCATCCTTCCTTCCCATGCGCACAATTTCTTTTTTTCCAACCATCTAATGTCAGAAGGAAGGGTTTTCTTCTGGTACTGCTGTTATTAAATAATTTAGAGTGAGAAATCTGTGGAAATTTATATAGGGATCTTTTAGTACACACCAAGCTGCTGTCTGCCAACCTCTGCAGTATAGTATTTACCACCTCACTGAATAAGGTAAAATAAACATGGCATGAGATTTTCAAATAAAATTGAGGGAAATTGAAAGTGTAAAGAAATGGAAAAAACTGTCACCAAGGACTGATTCGTGATTTTTATCTATTTATTTTGGCAGCCCGGGCCGGTCTCCATCCTCCTATGACAATGAGATAATAATGATGAATCATGTTTATAAGGAGCGATTCCCCAAGGTAAGGGTTGAGTAGGAAAAAGAGCCTAATCATTGAAACTGGGGGGGGAGGAGGAGCAGCCAAGCTGGGGGCAGAAAGATTGGGTCCGTCCCACCTTCTTTTGACATTTAAATGAATTTGACAATGAATAGAATCACTTTATATTGTCTCTTTTTTTTCCTGAATATTTTAATATTCCAAGAAAAGAATTGAGAAAAGAGACAAGGGATACCAAAGTCAGAGGACAATAGGTTCAATGATACTAGAATAGAGCGGACACTTTTATTTAAGGAAAAAGTTCTAATATTCTGAATAATTCCCTTAAAAAAGACAATAAATGAATGGCTTTCTCTCTCTCTCTCTCTCTCTCTCTCTCTCTCTCTCTCTCTCTCTCTCTCTCTCTCTCTCTCTCTCTTTCTTTCTTTCTTTCTCTCTCTCTTTCATAATCTGGACAGCATGGTTAATGCAGTGTAAAGTTTGAGGATAAAGATTCTCAGATACTTTTCTGTGCTTAAAAAAAACCAGGGCTTAGTCTGAGTTATTGGGACTGTCCTTTTTTACCTTATGCAAGAATTGTTTCTTACCCCAATAGGCCACAGCACAGATGGAAGAGAAGCTGCAAGATTTCATTAAATCCTATGAGCCAGACAGCGTGTTGCCTTTGGCTGATGGAGCGCTCAGTTTCATCCACCACCAAGTCATTGAACTGGCACGAGACTGTTTAGCCAAGTCCCAGGAGGGTCTCATCACTACCGTCTATTTCTATGAGTTGCAAGAGAACATGGAGAAGCTATTGAAAGATGTGAGTGTCAGCAGTCCAGGAAATAAAATACCAGAAATAGGAATAAAACGTATAGGTCACTTGGTTCAAAAGCAGTCTGAAAAATCAAGCTCACTTGAAGTAGCCTTTATGAGGCAAAATAGATTTAAGTGATGGAAATTGGAAAGGCCTAGTCAGTCGGTGGAATTAGAGACTCCAGTAATGAGGTCATGGAGAGGTAGATTTGGTAAGTGCTGTGGTCTTTCATAATGGCAGGCTAATTCCTTCACTAATGAGCCCCATCTCTTCTGTTGCTTCTAGGCTTATGAACGCTCTGAGAGTGAAGAGGTGACCTTTGTCACTCAACTGGTGAAGAAGCTACTTATTATCATCTCCCGTCCAGCTCGCCTACTAGAATGCCTGGTGAGGCATAGAAGGGTGGAGTGCATGCATATGTGTGGGTATGCTTGGAATCGGCAGAAGGACCTACAGTGTGTGCCCCTGTTGTCAATAGATCTTTCTATACGAACATACCATAAGCCTATCTTAGTGACTATATAACATTCCACACAGGGAAGATTAACACATAATTAACAGGTATGGAAATAGCAGTGTTGGAGTTAGGAAGAAGATTGTTATGATTTGGTCTTTCTTTCTCCTTGTTTATATTTATTTCACTAGGCCTTAAAATTTGCTTGAGATATTGTGGAGTCACTGTGGGCTGCTTGTGCACACATCCAGTTCTCAAGTGCACAGACACAAAGATAGATAGAGGGACAGACATGTACACAAAACCTCTATCTTCTTGCAGCTCTCTTTCCTGCACTGAATTCAGAAGAGAGGGGTGAGTGAAGAGTTCCCCTTATCCTAGCAACTGAGATGATAAGGGAGATAGATTATAGCTCACCTGGCTCAGCTGTCTTCCAGACTTTATTTGGAGCAGATACAGATCAAAACAATGGTCTTGGGCAGAAGTGGTTTGTGGGAGATAAGAGCAGGAAAAAACCAAGGCTGAGATCCTGGCATGTATCCACATCAGCAGCAGAAGCATTGGCAGCTCAGGGGAAGAACAGGAGGAAGGAAAAACATTAGAAGCACTGGGTGAGGCTAGTGAGCTATGACATTTAGGAAGTCTTTACTACTGAGAACATTACAATAAAGAACAGGTACACCAGCTACTACTTCAACACCAGCTGAGGGGAAAAAGAGGAAAAGGTGTGAGGTAGATGACAAAATAGGTAGGCTGGCACACAGGCCATGAGGAAAAAGAGGAAATGGGCAACCTCATTAGCTAATGATGTCATTGAATCTATAAAACATTACACTTTCAAGTACTGAGAATGTATCTGAAAATTTAAAAAAAAACAGCTCCTGCAAAATTGAGGACATTTTTGAATACTTTCTTATAGATGTAGTTGTCAGACAGAAAGGCATTCATTTCTTATTAAAAAGAAGAAAAGTAGAATATGCAGAAAAGGGTTTAAAATACAAGAACCAAATAACCAGGCAGGATGAACATAATTCAGTTGACTGAAAAGGTTTTTCATTAAGAGTCATTTTCATTCTAATAAATCTGAGGACATGCTATTCCTTTTTGCTCCGTACTGGTAGAACCTAAAGGCTAGCAAATTAGAAGCAGGGAAAAGCTGCTCTCAGAAATTATTTATGCATCAGAAAATGGAAGAGACACCATTAAGAATGACAAAGCATTTAAATCAATCAAAGGATTTGGAAATAATTCAGAGCAATAAGTGTAAGGACACACATCTGGTCTTTATCACTTGTTTATCAGCTTTATCAACCTGTTTTCAGTAGTTTTGAAGAGCAGGTCTGGTAATTTCATTGCTGTAAAATGTGAGAGCTAGGTTTTCAACCAGTACATGATGTTTTAACTGTATTGCTCCAAAAGTTAAAAGATACTGATTATTTTTCAACATTTAATGCTTCAAAAAAGTTAAGGACTACAGCTCAGTTTATGACTGGTTACTTAACGACCATTCAACGTTATGATGGATACCCTCCCAAAATACAACCTGTTTTTGAAGTTAAGATAGCTATATTCCCCCCCCCCAGATAATTGCATTTTAGGTGTTTGTCAACTCTTGTTGTTAGTTGTGAAGTCGTGTCTGACCCTTCGCGACCCCATGGACAACGTTCCTCCAGGCCTTCCTGTCCTCTACCATCTTCTGGAGTCTATTTAAGTTGACGCCTACTGCTTCAGTGACTCCATCCAGCCACCTCATTCTCTGTTGTCCTCTTCTATTGCCCTCAATCTTTCCCAGCATTAGGCTCTTCTCCAGTGAGTCCTTCCTTCTCATTAGGTGGCCAAAGTACCTGAGTTTCAACTTCAGGATCTGGCCTTCTAAAAAGCAGTCAGGGTTGATCTCCTCTAGGACTGACCGGTTTGATCGCCTTGCAGTCCAGGGGACTCGCATGAGTCTTCTCCAGCACATTTCCAGCATCCTACAGTCACGTGACTGACTTTTTTATAGACATTTTTTGCTGATTTCTGGTATTTACTTTCAATTTCTGGCACAGAATGCCCATTGGTAATGACTGCCTCATTTGCTTAACAACTGTCACACAAAATTGGGTCCAGTTATGTGATGCCTTGACATATGACTGTAATGACTTAAGACCATAATTCTGAATTCAGTTATGGTCATAAGTTGAGGACTACCTGCAGTTGTTTGAGGGACCTACCATGTCTGGTTATTGCTCCTAGAGGCTCATTCATCTGGTTTGCAGGAAAGGTTTCTTCCTATCCAAATGTGGATTTTTTTTTCTTTAGAAATGAGATTGGTCTCTACTTTCTTGGTTTATTAAAGACATATTTTTATCTGGCCTTTGAGTTAACTAGCAGCTGGATTAATATGGAAGATTTAGGAGATTGTTTTAAACTTTCAAGATGATTCTATTTATAAAAAAAGTGGCTGTCAATTAGTGCTGGTGATAGTTGTTGAAAGACAGTATTGTCCCAAATAAAAAGATTGATGAATAAACAGCCTATTTTAAAGAAGTGGTTTTGCTGATTGCCTAAATGGGATTTTCAGCAGAGCTCTCTGTGGATAGTACACCATGCTATTCTATGATGAGTCTTTGGAATTTAATTTTTGGTGAGACTTTGGATTTTTGCCTAAGCACCAAAACTATGATCACAAGCCCTCCTCTGCAGGCAGTGAAATCCTCTTTCAGCTGGAATTAAGCTTATTTTATAAAGGTCGGTTCCCAAGTGGAGAACATGCAAGCACCATGTTGTTGCTTAACATACTCCTTTAAGTCTGGTATTGAAAACCAGTTCTGAGCGCAGCATGAGTGAGCTTCCACCTGGCTCAAGAATTCCTTCTATCTCCCCATCTTGGCTCTACCCTTTATCATCGGAGGGTTCAGATCATCAACCTGGCTTGTATCTGCTTAGAGTAGTTTTGAAGGTGCCTGTGTGTTACCCTGACAACACAGCAGCCAATCACAAAACACTTTTTCTCAGCCGGCCAGGCTGACTCTGTCTTTGTTGTCCTGTTCAGAAACACGTGAGCATCAGAAAGAGAAGAATGGCAGACAAGGGCTCTTGTTTATGCCTCTCTTTTCTCCAACCTGGAAATAAGAAAAACAAAGCTTGTGTTTCAAACATGGGTTTTAAAAGAATTGCGATAGGGAATAGAGTTTTATTTTAAACAAAATGAAAATGCTTAGCTGTGTTTATTTAGCTTCTCCACTTTTTTCCCTTTTCATCCAGGTCAGATTATAAATGGAGCTGTAAAGAGGCTTCTTTTTTTTCTCTTTTTTTTTCAAAACAATTTTTATTGTACTTTTTATTAGGTTTACACCAACACAGCTTAAGAACCCACGTGGAAACATGTTGATCCATTTTTTTAAAAAACAAGCAATAACATAGCATATATATACCCAGTATTTCTTTAAAATTTCCCTCTCTATCTATATAGAATATTATAATCAAATTAATACATTTTCAAATGAATTCATTCGTCACTATATCTAACCATCAACTACATTAATCAATAAAAAATTTAATCTATAAAATTACATTTCTTAAGAACATTATAATCAAGTCAATATCTTTCTAAAACCAATTCATTCACTAATATAACATTTCATCCAAGTTATATAATTAAAAATAAACTAACATTCCCTGTCTATTTATGTTGTTATAGGCTTATTAAAACATTTCTAAAACAAATTTTCATTGAATATGTCACTCTATATGAATTTCATTAATCAATAAAAGTTTACAAACTCATTATCCATCTCAAAAATCCTGTATTATGCTTTCTTAATTTTACAAATATTTAATCTTAAATTAACATATTCATTTACTATTCAGATGCCCCAATTGTTTTTTTTTATTTAAGCATTATTAATTCCAAAAATAAATTCTTCTCTTTCTCATTAATATTCTGTTGTTTTTCACTATGTCTCCAAATCTTCAATAATTAATTCCATCATTTCCCATATTTCAGTTCTTTTCTCATTATACCATCTCTAATAATAAAAACATATAAAGCCCTTTTAACAAAATCCAAGTCCAACTCAATCCAAATTGCTGTAAGGCCTTTACCACATTACTATAATCAGATTTAATATTTGTATCTTATTCTGGGTTTCTTTCTAGTCCAAACAGGTTTCCATAATCAGGCCTCTGCCTGCCACACTATACACTCCAAAAAGAAAGCTCCCCTTATACATTTTGTTAAATTAGTGTGATTAATCTGAATGATTCATAGCAGAACATCATTTCCCCTTTCTTTTAACATTAAGTAAATTTCACTTAAAATCCTTTCTTTTATATTGTCCTCTTTAATCACATGTTTCTCTTCTTCCCATGTTTTTTTCTCTATCTCAAATTCAAATGGCGTCTGCAAACCAACTTGTCCTTCTGAAACAAGATTGTCCAGTTCCTTATCATAAGTCCTTTGTCCATTGATATCAAATCTTTTTTCCAAAATCAATTGATTGTCCAACTGTGGATTTACTTCTTCCACCTTGATAAGCAGGGCACAAGCCTCTTGTGTATAAACTGATGTTTCACTTAGTCCTTGTTTTTGCCTTGTCGAAACAAAGAAATCTCCTTTGAACAGGCAATTATCTTCTCCGTATTTTCCAAAATTTTGTCCAAAATATATTTATAAGTAATATCTACACCAGTTTCCTCCATCTTTATTATCTTTCAAATCCTTATCCTTTTAAAGGAGACTATATGTAAAAACGATCACAATATCCATCTCCTCCCAGTTTCCTTGCCTTTTTCCTTTGTACAAAATAAAAGCTTTTCCAGCGAAGAAAAGGTAGCAAGTTCAATGAATACATTTGTCAGAGTGTCTCTCAAAAAGTAATCAGATGTTCAATCCTTCCAGACACCATAAAGGTAAAAGCAGACAGTATTCTCTAAATATTATAAAAAAATTTCTTAAGGCTCCCAATCTCCAAAGATAAAATCAACAATAAAACAAAAATAAATTTAATCCTTTGTGCTTCTCTTCCCCCATTTAAAAAGCCCTTCACCAGAAAAGGGAGTAATTCCAAAGGGGGAAAAAAACTTTTCACAGGCATAAAGAAAATAGAGGTAAAAGGAAAGTCTCACCGAGTTCTCCATGGTGGGTCCATTTGCTTAGCTGATCTTGAGGCTTGCGGTTGGCGCAGCTAAATGATCGGCCATTTTACTGGCCGATCTTTACCCTGTCGGCCCAAAGGAGATACTCGGTGCACAGAGGACACCGCCGCTCCTCTGCAACTATCCGAGAGCCTAAAGAGGCTTCTTAATTCCTCAAAGCAATCTTCTCCAATGTAATCCCTACTAGACCCATCAGTCACAAATCCAGTCAGTCACAGCATGATGGCAGGATATGATGGGAGTTGTAGTCCAACTCATCCAAAGAGGGCCAGGCTAAGCAAGACTGATATAAAGTGCCACATGATAGGATAGACAGTCTTAACCATGTATTCAGTGTAAGAGGTTAACTGTCAGCTGATTAGGGAAGGGAGTCAGTATCTTGTGTCCATCAATGGCTAGGCAAAGGTTTCTGGAAATCCCACAGGCAAGGCCTTCTCCCACTGTTTCTTTTCAGCAGCCAGCATTTTGAGGAATATTCCCTCAAAAATGGACACTCCATTTAGCAATTTTGCAGACTTTCTCCATCTTGCTCACAAATCCTTGTAATTTATCTACTAGTGATTCAGCTACACAAATGTTTCAGTGGTTGAAATCAAAATCTCAGTAACCGCAACTCTTTATTAACACTAAATTTCACTGATGGCCTTTAACATAAAATGTTCATAATGATCAACAGTGGTGCGAACACGTTGGCATCTCAGCTGGAATACACTTGCTGTCAAAAAATACAATCAGTGGATCCTTTAGCATTCAGCTACCATGTTCACCATACATTATCTACAGTACTGAAGGCAGTAACCAATCGTTTGGTTGTGTGGCATCTAGTTGTTTAGATTCTATATAAATGTTGTGTTTTCTGAAAATGCATATCACATCAACCGATTTCTATGGTCTGCAAAGCCCCATGTTTTCCTAGATCTCAGTTCCCAAACTGCCAATTCCCTTGCTTCATATAGATAATATGACAGCGGGAAATGCAGAGCCTGAGAAAAGACAAGATAGTTATGAAAATGCAGTGCCACTGCCATCAACTGCCAGATGGACTGCAAGTAGCTTGATACATCAAAATAGCAGGAAAAACCCTTAAGTTTTAAACTTGTGCATATGTGAACACACATACACAGACAGACAGACAGAACTGTATACTCTGTTGATGCTGTTCTTTATCATAATTAGGGCTGCTTAATATTTGAATAAAGTTACTTATCTATCCAAGCCTCATCCTTGATTTATCTGTTAAGTATGTTGGTGTGCATTTGTATTCCTGGATTTGGATTTATAATCAGGTTCAAGGAATAGACATGAGAAATGTTGTCATGTTTGTCTACTAAGGATCTCAGTATGTAACAGCTCTAGCAACTATTCCTCTTGATTCTCACTATTTTTTCTCCCCTGTGAAGGCTTCCATTTAGATTTTACTTTGAAATTGCCCAACCTAATCCACAGAATTTCACAAGCAGTTCAGATAACCACCTCCATATGTAATTATCAATTAATTACATATTAATTTAGACCCTCCATCTAAAAACACTGAGGGTAAAGTTAGCCTGATGAACAGAGGCTGTTTCAGACCATGGATCCTGTGAGTCCGGTTACCTAGGTCCACGTCCATCTCCCTAGCTGTGGTTCTTTTGTGGTTTCCTGAAATCAGTTCTTCTTTATTAATCTCCATCCTAATTCCAACCTGCTCTGTGTCTTATCTCTAGGAATTTAATCCTGAGGAATTTTATCACTTGCTGGAAGCAGCTGAGGACCATGCCAAAGAGGGACATCTGGTAAAGACAGATATTCCTCGTTACATCATAAGCCAGTTGGGACTGACTCGAGACCCATTTCCAGGTAATACAACCAAAATTATCTGCTATCCAAGTGGCCTTGTCTCTGCATATGTACCCAAGTCACAATATTTGTTAAATGACAAGTGACCATACGTGTGTCATTTCTTGCATGTATTAGCATGGTCATCTCATAACTCCATTGGATACGTGGCAATTTGTTCAAGTTAACATTACATGGATTCCACATAGCACAAATGTGTTCATTTTCTTCAATATAATTCTTTATTCTTGGGCCATTTTTGTTCCTGATGCAGCTTTGAGGGAAATCTGTCTGACTACCTATTCTACTTAGAGGATAGATTATAAATAAATGGACACAGAATTTAGTTCCGCAGAGTTAGCCAGGATATTTCTAAGGTCTGAACAAAGAAGTTAAATTTATTAAGGAGCTATTAAAATTTTATTAACAAACTGAAAGGAGAAGAAGGTAAATTGTCATCTACTAGAAGTTTCTGCATTACTATTTTTTATTTGGTGATTGCTGGATTCTTCTCAAGAATGCTGGAGTAAATAGACACTTTTTGGATATGAACAAGAGATAAGCTGATAATGAAGCCTTGACTATTAAAAATCCCAAGCATGCACACTTCTTTTTTAAAATTTAAAATTCATATGGTCACCATCAGGGATGGTGTAAAAGGAAAATCTGCCTACCTAGTTGTAGAAGAAGTGTAGTTATGATAGGGCATTGGAATCCTTCAAGTGACAAAACAAAAAGATGCTGGATGAACAGCAAGTCTTTTCTCATCTTGACTTTAAACCTCAGTTTTCAATGTTACGGCAAACTTTACAGCATCAACTGTTCCTCCAATGCTTCTACATAAACAAGGTGACTTAATGAAATTCAGAACCACGTTGTCTTTCCCCCCCCTCAGTTGTAGCTAAATATATACAACATAGCCATTAAAAATGTATGGAAAGACACTGACAAAAATTTCTCAATTTCCCTCCTTTCAGACTTTTACCAAGCCAAATAACTTTCTGATTGTTGTGTGTTGAATTGGGCTGAATTGTCTAAAAGTTGATACTCCAATCCACGATATCCAGGGTTGTGAAATTATTACAGGTGGCAGATTCCAACAGCTGGGTTATGCTGCTTGCTTCATCTGAGTAAAACTAAGAGCAAACTGTGCACAATGTGAAGGATTTTTTTGGAATGGCTTCTGTTTTTATTTTTAGGACCTTTGGTGTAAGCATCTGGGCTCTGGATTTTATCAGACTGATGTGCAAAAGATGGGTGTTAACCCCTTTCCTTCAAGTTGACTTCTCATCCATTTCTGTTTTTCCTCTCAATGGGGGAAGCGTTGCATGGATTCATCAGGTGTGGTTGATCCTGAAACAGGATTGATAATTGTTCAAAGTTGTCTAACTAGGAATCATGATCTGGATTTACAGAGAAGTAGTAATAGAATTTGCATACAAATTCTGGAAAGTGGTAGATCAAAGGCCCCAGATGCTAGAAGGTCTGTTGCGTGTTTCTTCATTAGGACAATGTATTTTTTTTAATACTTCAGCTTGTCAGTGTACATTTTCACACTGGCAAAGTAGCATATGCTCATCTGCATCCAGTGTTAAATGTGTGCATGTATTTAAATATACCTATATTTCTCTAAGCCGGATTTCATGAGTTCATTTATATTGCATTGTGAGTGTGAATAAAATTCCCAATGTGTGCACATCAGCATAAAGGGGCTTTTGCATATCTGTGTGTGTTGAGCTGCATGCAGATGTGCTTGCAAGTGCATGGTTGAATCTTCTGATTTGCCATTGGAGCACATGGAGCTTTCATCTCTACCCATTTATACCACATGCATGTGCCTTTGTGTATATGCATGGCTCTGTGTGTATTTAGATTTCACCCTTTCTGTGCTTTCATAAACGACAATGGGGGTTGCTAAAGCCTTGTTCCCTTTGGCTCTCCCCAAACCTTGTTATCGTCAGATGTGCTGTATGTGGAGGAGCACGATAGTGGAGGATCCAACACACCTGAGACAGAAGAGTTCGCCGAGGTCAGTATACGGGTCAGCTTGGCCAACCCCATCCTAGCCAGTTTTCCTCCACACAGGGACTCCCACAGACGTACCTTTATTGCAATTTGTTCACCATTCTGTGCAAATGCCCATTTAGAACAAGGGGAAAGCAAGTCTGTCATTAATACTAAGCCTCAGAAGAACACCCCATCTGTGTAAGAAGACTGAGATTCAGTAAAAATGTGTGGTGGTATAATACTCAAAAAGCTGTATAAACATAAATTATGGCATTTACCAGGCACCTATCATTTGCCTTTCCTTCTTCCCCATAGATGCCCATGTTCAGAAGTACCAGTCTTTGAAATTCAGGATTATATCTAAAATTGTGTACTGTTTCTACTGGCAACAACCAGAAATAAATTAGACATCATTAGTATGGATGCTTAGGGAGGAAAAGTGTTACTGTAACTTAAATAGCAACACTACTTATGTGATCTTCAGAGTACTTTGCTTTGGATAGTGATGTTGTTCAATCACTATGTATATATTGTATTTTTCATATGTTCATTTAATACTGTATTTAGCTTTCCAAGGTAATTTTCCCTCAATATACTTACATCTGTCCTATTTAAATCAATGTATATTAATGTATTCAGATGAGAGAATCAACATAGAATGCATTTCTATGTAGTAAATCCACCTGGGTTTCGTGCATGCAATGCTCTCTAGAAAGATTAATTAAGAAACAATAAATATTATTTCTAAATCAGAAGCTTAATTTCAAAGAGCTGCCCAAACTAGATTTTGCTTATGGAAGAGATTTGCACTAACTTTTCCTACTTTTTGCCCTTGGGCAACTAATAATACTGCCTATGCAGTAAATTATAATATCTCAAGCCTCCCTCAGTTTCAACAATTATTTTTACATTGGAATGAGGAGCACATGTTAACTAAAATACATGCATCTAAACCCCCCATGGACTTGTTTAATTATATTTCAAGCTCTTTGGACTCTAGCTTGGGGGATCTGTGGTTTTGAGCTGTTGAAGAATGTTTGCAATTATGTACAATGCAGTTAACAAATGCCAGCTTTGCTTGTTACAAGGAAAGACTATCTTTAATATTTTGTTCAATAAAAAGTGAAATAAATGTGCCCGTAATTTGGATTCCTACTAGTTAACCAACTAAAAATTAAGTTGATTGATCCACTGACTAAATATAGTAAAATCTGTAGCTTATTTAGGATTTTCATATCTCACATTTTAAAGTTTAAAAGTTTGGAGGGAATGCTGAAACTTAATCACTTTTGTTCAGTCATGATGAAAGCAGATCCAATTAGCCATTTAAGATGGCAGCAGTTTAAAAGAGAGGAGGGCTGCCAGCATGCAGCTGTCTAGCCTCATTTTTATGACCTCTCCCCTAGATGGTATTTACGCAATTTTATGACTAATTTCTATCTAAAGTAGATATCCCCTCTGGATGCATTACTATATCTTTTATTTTAATGAAAATCTGAGCCCTATATCTCAGTTACGTTCCCTACAATATTTTGGGGAGAGTGGCTAAATAATCTAAAATAATGACCTACTGGCAAGATGTATTTTTTGATTTTTACAGTGCACTGAAGATGTTGGAAAGCTACTGTTGGTCCTTATGACAAACTGATTTGAGAGACTTTCTAAATTGCTCTGTCCAGTGGCAGCGGCAGCAACAATGGCTAGAAATGGATGTGAAAAAGATTGGAAGAAAAATCCACTTGTGGAAGAGAGGAGGACTATGAAAGAGAGGCGTAACAAGGGTGGCTAAGGGACAAGAGGGGGAGGCCTGGGTGAGAATGATGGCTTATGAGTGTGACTGATGGAAGAGAGAGAAAGGTAAGGAGGAGAAATGATCGTAGGCGGATTGGACAAGAATCAAAACAGACAGATGGAGGATAGATGACTTGTGCATGGGACCTGCACGTGTGAGGGAAAAGGAATAGGCTGAAAGTGGAAGAAAGTGGTGGATGGTCTAGGTCCTAGGATGTTACTCTTAGTTATTGGTTAGTGCAGAGGGTGCATTGTTGCTGAATCTTACTATTTCCCAGGCTGGAACTGCTTCCCTTGCTCAATCTCTCCCTTACCACAGTCTCTTAATAATTCAGTGATGGCATGTTTGTTTTGAGCAGAAAAGGCTGAATAGAGAGACACAGAGGGAACCTCTTCCACCTCCTCTTCCCCTTTGGAAAATCATCAAAGACATGATTGTTTCAGAGGCACTAGAAAGCTAACCAGCTGCTCTTTGGAAATGGAGTTAAATTGGCAGACGGCATGAGGTTTTCAGTGTTGTTTTCAGTTTATTAAATTTGAATGGTGTATTTTCTTTTGATTTTTAAATCACAGCGAATCAATTAAATCAATCTGCAAACATATTATAATGTAAATAAATGGTGGAAGAATACTTAGGGCTTCACATTTTTTTCTGAAGATTTGCAAAGATTAACTCTCAACAGAAGATTAAAAGTTTACATAGAATCAGTCATGATTTTGTTCTCTATCCTTCATGCTTTGTGGTTTGCAGCCTAGAAAGGGTTCTGCAGCTTTGTTCTACGTTTTCTGTTCTTTATTGGTGAGAATGTGATGAACATACATGTGATAGTAGCTCTTTACTGAAGAACAGAGATTCTGCCTGGATAAAAAAAAAATGCATTATTAGGACTTGAATGCTGTTGCTTAACTATGCATTTCATTGTGCACTTGACTCTTTTTAAATTTTGACATTCCTGCATATATAAACAAAATGACTACTGTTTCTGAATGACAGAATTCAGATTCAAATGTTGTGTTAACTTCTATATAAAAAGCATCCTATAAGGTAAACTTCTGTTAGAACTGAATTCTTGTTTCTTTATGGACCATTCATGGCCTCACACTCTGAATCCTTAACATTGCAGAGTCGTGGGACTACTCCAAAGCCAAAGAAGCCACCAGGAGAAGGAGACTTTGAAACTATTAAACTTATAAGCAATGGGGCCTATGGGTGAGTGCACTAACTTAACATCAGGCTCCTTGGACCATCAGCTGCAGGAAAGGATCCTTGCTTCTGGGGTCAACATTGTAGTTCTAAATGCTTCAAATGTTTACTTGGGCCAGTCATTCTGTTCCTACAATGATGATGTAGCTCCTCTCCACAGTTATAGCAAACTGGAGTATAAATTAGGACAATGGTTCAAAGGAGCCATAAAAATAGGTTATAATTTTGAAAAAAAGTTTAATGTTTGGATCAATTGATTAATGGATAAATAAAATAAATTTAGCCTGGTATTGAAGAGAAGTGTAGATACCAAATACTAAACACCCCACTTTGCATCTTAAGAAGACAGAACTCTTGGAATAATTCTTCCAACAGGAATCCTTTATTAAGAGAAAATGGTTGCAGGCATGCTAGACAGGACTTGGGGTTCAAGCTCTCCCATTCAAGGTTTTAAGGGGTTCCCCAGTAGTCCCACCCAATCAACCCCCCTTCCAGTGATAGCTTCAAGTATCACAATTCCACCCCCTTTCTTCTTTCTTCCGTCTGGATGGAGACTTCAGATAACTACATGAAAGGCAAATACCCTTCCTTGTTATGGTAATGTTCTTGGTTGCTAACACTTTGAGGTTATAATAAACATACATTCAGCATTCAGCTCTTTGAAGTCTACTGAAGGAAGTGAGGGCCATAAAGCCCCTTTGTTCTCCCCCTTCTCTCCCTCTTATGGCAGAATCCAGAGAAGGCAGAATTGGGGTTTTCTATGTTTGATAATTAAAGATGAAATATAATTGGATTCTGACATCCGGCCCCTCTTAAAAATAAGAGAGATTCACCTGAAAGAAAACAAAACAGGTATAAGACTTAGTCAGGCTTGTTAGGATACTCTGTGTGAAACTTCTTCAATAGCTTCGGGGCTCTGACATGACGTTTATGGACCCACTCGTTTTGTGAGGGAGGGAGGTGTTTCCAGGCAACTAGGTACTGAGTTGCTCCATGATATCTCCTAGAGTCAAGGATCTCTTTTATTTCGAAGTGTTGTTCACCCTCCACCATGATTGGAGGTGGTGGGGGGGGATTTTTGGCCGTAGAGGTGATTGATGCTCTCTTTTCAGCAAGCTGCAATGAAAAATTGGGTGTATTTGCCTGAGATTTTTGGGTAATTCTAATTCTACTGTTACTGGATTTATGATTCTTTTAATTGGAAAAGGTCCTATATATTTTGGTCCAAGTTTTTTACAGGGCTGTAGGGACTTTAGGTATTTTGTAGATAAGTACACCATTTCTCCTATAATGAATGGTGTAGGCTCAACCCTTTTTTTATCGGCTTGTGCTTTGTATGCCTGCCTAGCTTCATCTAGTGCTTTTCTGACTATTGGCCAGGTGTTTTGTAGGTTTTCCATCCATTCTTTCAGTGAAGGGATCGTTGGTTCTTTGGGGTTAACTCTGGCATAGGGTTGAAACTTTGACCGTTGGCTATTTGAAAAGGAGTGTAGCCTGTGCTGGAGTGGACTGCATTATTGTAGGCAACTTCTGCAAAAGGAAGTAAGTCCGTCCAATCACTCTGTTGGAAATTTAAAAAACATCTCAAATATTGCTCAAGTACCGAATGGCAGCGTTCTGTTTGTCCATCTGTCTGAGGGTGATGGCTAGATGTCAGTCCCTGAGTGGTCCCTAAGAGGGATAAAAATTCCTTCCAAAATGCAGACGTAAATTGCACTCCCCTATCAGAGATGATGCGTTGGGGTGCCCCGTGCAATCTGTAAATGTGCTGGATGAAAAGTCTTGCTAAGGCCTTTGCAGTGGGAATCTTTTGGCAAGGGATAAAGTGCACCTGTTTGGAAAACAAGTCCGTGACTGTCCAGATAACAGTATTCCCATTGCTTTCTGGCAATTCCACTATAAAATCCATGGCTATTTCCCTCCAGGGGGCTGAGGGACTTGCCACTGGTTGTAATAGCCCTGGCGATTTCCCTTGCAACCTCTTGCACAGGTTGGGCAGCTGGCAACATAACTTTCTATGTCCTTTTTTATTGATGGCCACCAAAATTGCCGTTTAATTAAGTGTAAAGTTTTTACAAATCCAAAATGTCCTGCTGATTTTGTGTCATGGCAAAGCTGCATGAACGTGATTCTTTGGGTTTTTGGTATATATAACTTTTCCCCTACCCAAGGCAATCCGTCTCTCATTGTGCACACATTTTTGTTTTTCTGGAACCATTCATCTGTTTCCAAACTTTTTCTGAATTCAATTCCAGTTTGGCTGTCCAGTTGTGGTTTTATTTTGGCTTGGGTTCTTGTGGTTACTGGTGCTGCCAGTTGTGACTCTGCCATTATTGGTCTAGAGTCTGTGGTTCGTGCGCTGTTATATTGAGGCATGCGAGATAGTGCATCTGCCAGGAAGTTCTTTCTTCCTGGTAAATGTTTGAGCTTAAATTGGAATTGGTGAAAATGCTGGGACCAGCGGGCTTGTTTGGGATTGAGTTTCCTGGAAGTTTTCAGGGCTTCCAAATTTTTGTGATCAGTCCACACCTGGAAGGGGATTTTGTTGCCTTCCAGGAACTGTCGCCACGTGAGTAATGCCCAACGTATCCCATAAGCCTCCTTCTCCCATACGGGCCAGCGCTGTTCTGTTTCCGTGAGTTTCTTGGATGTATATGCACAGGGTTGCAATACTGCATCATCATTTTCTTGTAATAGCACAGCCCCCACTGCCACATCACTTGCATCTGCCTGTATTATGAAGGGCTTGTCCATGTCTGGGTGCCTTAGTACTGGTTCGGCAGAAAAAAGTCTCTTTAGTCTCTCAAACGCTGCTTGGCACTCCATTGTCCATGTTAGTGGCTGGCTAGGTTTTACTGAGGATGTTCCCTTCGTTTTTAGTAAGTTAGTGAGGGGCAAGGCTATCTGGGCAAATGAGGGGATGAATTGACGGTAAAAGTTTGCAAAGCCCAGGAAACTTTGTAGTTGCTTTCTTGTGCGGGGTGGCGCCCAATCTAATACTGCTTTGACCTTCTCTGGGTCCATTTCAATGCCCTGTGGGGATATGCGATAGCCTAGGTAGTCTATCCTTTCCTGGTGGAATTCGCATTTTGAGAGTTTGGCATATAGGTGGGCGGCTCGCAGCTTCTTTAAAACCGCTCTGACAAGGTTGACGTGTTCCTCTTTTGTTTCAGTAAAGATAAGAATGTCGTCCAAGTAAACAAGGACCCCCTTAAACAGGTGCTCCCTTAGAACCTCATTGATTAATTGCATAAAGACTGCAGGGCCCCCTTGTAGTCCAAATGGCAAGACTTTGAATTGATAGCACCCCATGGGGCAGTTAAATGCAGTCTTCCATTCGTCCCCTTCCTTAATTCTTACGCGATAGTAAGCTTCCCTTAGGTCTAGTTTAGAAAAAAATTTCCCTTTCGATAGGTGTGACAGCATGTCTTTCATGAGGGGCAGAGGGTCTAGGTTGCTTTCACTGATTGTATTCAGGGCCCTATAATCCACGCATAAACGTAAGGAGCCATCCTTCTTCTCTCTAAAAAGGACCGGGGCAGGCAGCCACTTTAGGCTTGCTGGCTCAATGAAACCTCTCTCCAGGTTTTTTTTTATAAATCTTTTCCATTTCCCCTTCTCCTTGGGCTCATGGAGTATAATCTGGGACCCGTCGGGATGGAGTTTGCCCCCAGGCTTGAATTCAATGGTACAGTCTGTGGGTCGGTGGGGGGGAAGCTCATTTCAGCTGAAGACTTCAGCAAGGTCTCTATATTCCTCTGGTATTTCTGTTAATCTTTTTTCCTCTCCTCTGGATGCTTTTTCTATTCTTGATTCTGGTAGCCTCCCTTGGGGTTTTAATTCCATAGGGTCCCCCTTCGGGAATTTGATTTCTGTCGTCCTCCAATTTACCCAGGGGTTCCATTTTTTCAACCATTCCATCCCTAGAATCATTGGGCATTCCATACCTGGGGTCACCACAAACGTTAAGTCCTCTTCATGGTTGCCCAGGGAGAGGTGTATTGGCAGAGTGGCTAGTGTAGCTGGCACCCCCCCTGCTATGGATCCATCTAGCTGGCCAAATGAGATTGGTTGTTCCAGTCTCCTGGATGGGATGCCCAGATTCCCCACTAGTGTTGGGCTAATGAGGCAGCAGGTGCAGCCAGAGTCTATTAAGGCTTTCACCTTCACAGCTTCAGGCATGGGGGGGATTAATATAGTCACTGTTTTGAAGATGGGTGTGATGCATCCACTTACCAGGGGTTCGCCCTCCAAGCTGTCATCTGAGGCATCCACCGCCGTGGTGTAGGCTGGGAAGAGTTCTTTCCCCTGTGGTGAGCAGAGGCAGAGGTGGGGTTTCTGCAATTCCAATCATTTATCGCATGGCTGTTTCTTTTGGCTTAGCTTGAATAATACTTTCCGGGGTTTGTTGATTGGGGATCTGTCTGCGGTTGTGACTGGGGGGCCTTTGAGCGGCAGTTCTTACAGCCGATGCCTTCTCCTCCGCACTTGAAAACACCCCATTTTGCTTCTTGGCTGATCGGATGATTTCACCGGTGGTGTGTCAGCTCAGGCGGGGGGCGGGCTTCCATTGTTTCCTCAGCGGCGCCTCTTGAATATGTCGATCATCTGCGTCCTTATGCCAAGACGCTACCATCCTCAAAGTCGAGTGGGTCCCATCGGGGCAGGCAAGCATCATATAGATCATAGTTGAGTCCGTCTTTGAAATGGCCAAGGAGAATGTCTTCTGGCCAATTCAGTTTGCTGGCAATGGCCCGAAATTCTTGTGTATACTCAGCCACTGGGCGTTTGCCCTGCCTCATCGTTGTTATTCTTTCACGGGCTTTGCGATCAGCCAGGGGGTCTTCAAATCGTCTTCTCAAAGAGGACATGAAACGGTTGAAGTTACTGAGTTCTGGGGCATTGGAGTCATGCAAGTTCACTACACAATCCGCAGCTGGTCCATCCAGGGCAGATTGCACGATCCGGATGCGGGCTTTGTCGCTGGGAATATCCTGCCCATAGTCCTCCATGTAGCTGAGGACTTGGGTTAGGAAAACCCCCAAGCGTGTTGGCTCCCCTTTGAATTTCACTTCCAATGGTGGACGTCTTGGAATGG